TTCATGCCTGTCGGTATGATGTAAATGAAAAGTGTACATTGATTGCCTTTAAATTATTTACCCTTTTTGTTTTCCTAAGTTCGTGTCATATTTACCAACGACACAGGTTTCGTATTGTGGTGAACAAGTCTCGGAAATTCATTTGATATAAAATATCTAATGTGTCCCATGTTTCCGATCGAGTTAATAAAATGTGTCGACTATTTAATTGATCTGACACTATTTATTAGTTGAATTGAAACTTGGCAGCGTATATAATGTCCGCTATCTGAAAAATCTCACGCAAGTTGTTCACGTTTGGATAGAAAATAACAATTGTACAGGCAATCATGTAGTGTGAAACCAATGAGTAGATTAAAAAGTAATGGAAATCAATCTGGATTCTGAAGAAAATAGGTATTTGTTAAGGTTGACAGATAGAAAAAGAAACGAGAATATATCTTTGTATTTGACAGTTTAACGCTAGTTTTCGTCCAAGGTCTATCTATAGAGTATATAAATATCATTTCTAGATTTTAAATGATTCAGTTCAATAAAAGTTAAATTTATATTCGCAATCAGGTTATCTTTGTACATATTAAGTATGATAATTCCAAACAGAATCTCGTTATTAAAGTACAACAATTTCTTATACACCATTGGTTAGCACGTATCTTACATTTCTATTTCGCAGAAAGTTGAACATCGCTTCTCACATTTTCTTTTTACGTACATGATCTTTGGAATTTAGTCCAAAAAAGCACCCAATGTATTGTTTGCATATAAATAAAATGATGACTACGATTATAATGATCATAACGGTTAACAATTGTACTGTAAAGATAGAAGCAAATTCAAACGAAAAAAAAAAACAAATGTTAACATGCTTTGGATAGATATCTATTCCCGAAAATCAAAATCCACGTCATTTTATTTTTGTTTTAATAAACTCAATATTCTTTTATTTGTTTATGCGTGTACGAGTCTCTGGCAGTTCTTCTCAAAACTTTATTGGAAATGACCAATATATAAATGAACCAATCTTGTACAATTGACATACCATGTGCTCCTCTTTATATGGACAAAAATAAAATCCATCACAACAAATATAAACTCAATCACCAGATAAGTAATACTAATAAACAATATAAAAGATTTACCAGATATACATTTATATAAACATATATTTTTACTCAATAGCGAATGGTAAACTCAAATTAACACTCACCTGTTGTACATAGATACAAGTTCATTATACTTTGATTGACTTTTTTCTTTGTATTACAGAAAAGTCAACGAACGCAGTGAGGACGGAAAAATAAAAATCACCACAGCCTGGACTTTAAACCTTGGGTCAAGCCAGTTTCGAGTTTCTTTTTGTAAGTATGGTTTGGTACGATTTAGCTTACATTTAAAGCCCCTAAATAAGTAATGTTCCAGTACATATTAAATCTAAATGACATCTAAATTAATATCATTAGACAAACTTATTAGATAGGAAAGGACTCTCTAAAAATGTTCGAGTGGTGAGTTTTCAACCATTTATTAAAATACTTGACAAAGTCATTTCTGCTACCGCGTGATTATTTCGGGCAGTAATGCAATACCGGTATGTTAAATCATTGCACATATCAGGTGAATGTCGTGCTTTGTCAGTGATTACATTCTGTTCCTCGTTATGTTTAAAAATGCATTTAATGTTATTCAAGATCTAATATTTAATTATCGGAATGATTGCAAGATACAAAAGATACTAGTAATTGTTCTTTCAGCTCGAGACAATTTGCACGTATGGATTAATGGTAAAGCTGTTGAAACAACGGTAAGTAATGACTTTAGTTTATGCCGAGTATAAAATCTGGAAAAAGCGTGATCCCTCGGAAGCATTAATCACAACAAAATAGCATAAAAATTGCATAAGTCGGTTTGATTTAGCCTGTACATGAGGGAAAATGAAAATGTGCAAATACGTTATGGTTATATTACACAGAAAACAAACGAGGTCATATAAAAAAACTAAATATTAAATGTAGGCTATCACATCATCATCAATTTGGAACATCAATCAACAATACTTTTACATATCTTTTGTTATATTATAAGATGATAATGATGACGATGACGATAACAACAACGACGGTGATGGTGATGATGTGATGAAACTTCAGACTTGAAAATATCCATATTGCTTTTCACCAGTCATTTTCAGACTAATCATTAAGTAAATGATTTCTACAGTAAATGCTGGGCAAAATTTTATTTTTACATTCTTCAAGAAAGTGACATTGTCACAACGACATACTGGTACTATAAATGGATCAAAACAATAAGCTAATAGTTTGGTCAGTAAACTATTGTTAGGCGAGCATATCTAAAATATGACTGTTGTGTTACTTGGTATTAAGATGTAAATGCCTCCATTGAAATTGCGCTTTAATTAAATTGTAAATTATAGTGTAAATTCAAACATAAATGTTATGTATAACTTTGTGTCACTTTTTTACGTTAGATTTAATTTTTCTCAGCGCAAATAAACGAAATATAAACATATTAAACCTTTAAAATTAAAACCATTAATTCACATACATTTCGTTGAAAAAAGATTCTATAGTATAATAATAATATCACTTTAATAGTTAATATGCAAAATATAATGATTGAATAGACAGCCAGACAGAGAATGCGTACACCATATTTATTTTCAAATAGTTTATACGTACTTTCAAAACCAAAGCTAATATCTTATTCATAATAGCCTATTATATAATCAAACAACACAGCTATGGCAATGAAGTACTTTCAAAACCAAAGCTAATATCTTATTCATAATAGCGTATTATATAATCAAACAACACAGCTATGGCAATGAAATACTATGACTATCTAAACTATTAACTTAATACACTATTCTGTATCTATAGTAAGTATTATCAGAACTTTTTAAGATATCTAAGCTTTGATAAAGCACTATGTTTGTGTAAAAAATCGACCTTCAGGGTTCCTTTTCATGAAAATGTTTACGACTATTGGACTGCAAACTATTAGACATGAAACCCCCTGGTGGTGGGAGAAAACGGTTTTTTAATATAAGTCAATGCTTGAGTAAACTTATATTTGAATAATGATAACCGAATAGGTCAAAGAGTAACAACAATAAGCGATATGATGTTAGGTGAGGCGACAGTACCGTTATAATTAATACAACTTCCTACATCATGTAACGAAACTTTACTTGTGAAATGTGCATTGAAAAAAGATATTTAAACTTTATTTTGAATGTTTGATATAAAAATATATTTAAACTTTATTTTGATGTATAGTTGACACAAAAATATATTTAAACTTTATTTTGATATATAGTTGATGCAAAAATATAATAAAAATATTTAATGCAGCAGTTTTAAGTTTTAACTGTAGGGGAGTTAATAGTACTTTCCAAATGTTCAATGACGAAACTATACTTTAAGAAAGTTTAGAATGTTCAAAGTGACCAGGTCTGTTGTGATGTATGAAGACATTTTTCTTCTACTTATGAATATATAGTATTTTATATGGAGTGAGGTATATACATGTGTAGTATTTACATTTTATTGAACAATTTAAAACGATTAAAGATTGATTTATTTTTCGTTGTTTTGTTTCAGAGTTATATTACAGACAAGGGGTATGATGTGGACCTGTTTTTCTCACTTGAGGGTATGGAAGGACATATATACAGTGATGTTGAGGGTAATGAAATGATGAATTATTTGTTGTTAGATGGAGACATCAAAGGCACTGATTACCAATCCGAAGAAGGAAAATGACAATGGACGTTCAGAAACATATAAAACAGTTATATTGTAGTATCATATTGTAACACAATACGCTAAAGTCAAACATACATGATTTGCATAAAACAATTGTTATTTAAATAAGAATGTAGAAAAATCTCAATAAATGAAATGACTGTTGACAATTAGAATAGACATGGTAAAAATTCTCAATCTGCGACAAATAGTTAAAGTTAAATAACGCAGAGTGGTAGGTTCTGATCCAGAAAAACATGAACACGATTGTCAGTGTTTTGAAAAATATTTTTTCATAAAACACAAATAACTAGAACTAATTTATACCTCTATAATGTTACTTAGCTGCTTATTACTGTAATACTCCAGGTCAAAACTAACGGTATGCATTGCAACAACGTCTTTCAAAATCTGGTAAAGTTAAATACAATACATGTACTAATTGTCTTCTTTACACGATTTATTTATGTTAAGGAGTATCTCAACTTACTCAAACAACTTGTATTGTCTTAGCAAAATCAGAACATACATGTATAAATATGTTTCGATGTCATTGAATTTTTGCATTGCTTTTCATGAATTTAAAAACATGGTTGATATAATGGTAGGACAATTCTGATCATCTACGAAGGAAACACAACTTGAATTAATAAACTTTCTTTAACACTTAAGTAGATAGTTGAAAGAAAGAAAATGAACGATAACATTTTAATGCTAAAATACGTGTGATTGCTATATTATTTTAACTGAACAATTTCCACATCGGAATAATTCATTAATGTCTTTTGTTTTGACGCGATAAAGAAGTTAAATGTTGTCTTAGTATGTATTTAATTGCATTGTGATAGATTTGTGAAATAAACTTATATATAAATGTATTTCTTTCTCTAAGTTTAAGATATTAATATGTCTTTAGTTGTTTGATACACGATTTTGATGCATTTCATTTTGCATTCTTTTGATAGTCATTATTATAATAAATATAATCAGAGGAGCGAACCTATATATAGTGCTGGTCTGGTTGCTTTAGGCGCCGAACCAATTATCTAAATGTACAGATGGCCCGACAAATATAAACATGACACACTTGATCCATGGTTTTATAAAAAGTGTCTATCTAAGCCAAAACTTGGTCCCGCTGGCTAGTCGCATCTAAATTCTCATCAAATAACAAAGTAACATTTACAAGATATATGTTTAGAAACGATCAAAAACTATTTTGTCCGCCATTTTGCAAACAGATCATTGGCTTGTCGGCTTAAGCAATCAGAGTTCACTTTAGGTTCGCCATTGTAAAGTTCCTTGAAAAGTTCATTAAAATGTATAACGTTTGAGTAACTGACAGTCAAGTTTATAAATAGATTTCATTCATGCGTAAATTTAATACTAAGCACTTAACCTGCGACAATAAATGTCAAAACATGTTGGTTTCTGCGTCGTGAAAAGGGTAATGAGAGATGTTTTATTAGCAGATTGTAAGAACGATAGAAGATTGTTCTATTACGAGTGTACTTCCTGTTTTCGCATATCACATATAGGCACCACGAAAGATTATATGTTCTTTTAATTGCAAGCACGGTGCATATTGAATTGTATATGCTTGCATGACATGGCACAGTAATTTCGTTTATCCGATGGGAAATTGAGTACATCTGTATTACAATAAATTATTTCACACATAAAAACGGTGTGATTGCTTTATCAAGCAAACAACGATATTTTTATTTTAACAACAAGAAAGTTCGATATGAGAAATTCATCTATTGTTTATAATCATATGGGTTTTCATTCTTTCAAAAACAATTTCACGATTGATAACTTGCCGTGTTATCTTCTGATGACTGTGATGTAGTTTGTGGAAAAGTCATTGAGTCATGTAAAAACTGCAGCAAAAAATCCTCAAATAAAATGACCTTCTACATTGATTGCAATATTAAAGAGAAATATATCTTTTGTTAAAAAAAATAATTAACTTTATTATATACTTATAAATGAAATATTGAGAAATATTGATGAAATAAAATGCGTATTTTCATTTTCCGTATTTTCACTGTAAAAATTTATTTTTCACTGCAGTGAAACATATTTTCCGTATTTTCACTGGTGTCTTACCGGACTACTTTCTTTTAAATTCTACCAGTACACAAAATTTAAGGGAAAGTTTTCAAATTTTATCGCAAAAAAAGAGAAAAATGTACATAATAAACAGAAAATTCAAGTTTTTTCTATAAATACATGATTTATTTTCATCTTGTGGCATGAAAATTACCATATTTCACTCGTGGCTACCGCCACTCATGAAATATTTATTTTCATACCACTTGATGAAAATAAATCATGTATTTATAGAAAAAACTTGAATATCCTCTATATATCCTGCAATATTCATGTTTGTCAACAGCTGGACTTTAAAATTCTTTGTCGAAGTTGTGTCACATAAGTACATCCGCCAATACTGTAATATTCATACATATATACACATTGTAAGCAGAAAACTTTTAAAAAAAAGACAAAAAGTAGATAAAAACTATACTTTAATCTACTTTTATATTAATATCAAATCCATTGTTTTATCGTCATATTGTTTGCCCCCAATAAACGACATAAACGAACTAATGACACCCTTTCTTCCGTTCCTTAGGTCATTGTTAGAAAAACTACATGCTATAATGAACATTGTATCATAGTTTGGAGACCTTTCTGTTGAAAATGTGTCAGGGTTAAATCGTATACATATACATGCACAGTGCGTTAACTGGAGTGCGGGTATTAGTTACCCGCACTCCAGAGCATGTTAATTGATTGGCTCATTTTTGCTGGGGTTTACATATTGTGACGGCAGAGAAAGGGAAAGCGACAGAAGTGTCATATTCAGATGTTCGTTCATTGGTTCATTTTTGCCGGGGTTTCATGTTGTGACAGCAGGGAACGTGCTTTTATGTTTGACTATGATACAAAAGAGAAAGAACACCAAAACACTCGGCAATCTGATAAATTAATACTCGGGGGCTACGCCCCCTCGTACAAATCAGATAGCCTCGTGTTTCGGTGCTCTTTCTATTACTTACTAATTCAATGTCGACTTTTACAAACCACGAAATGACGATATATAAGAGTTTAGAGAGACTAACAGAAATATTTTGTAGCTCATTTAGTTACTTTAACACCGTGTGGTGAATGAAACACTTCAATGTTTTTGAAGTGAACTTCTTTTTCCGTTACATTTATCTAATTATCTGGTTATCATTACATTAAAGATAAAGACACAATAAAAAAACTGGAAATCAGCACAGTTCTATCTAGATGTCATCTTTTAGTGCAATGTCACACCTTTAAAAAAAATACTCGATCATAGCCAATCTCTATAGTAATTTTGAATGTGGTATTAAATTTTATAAAAGTCAGTTAATATAAATAAGCTCTTTAATTGACACATTCGTTTCAAAAAAAGCCAGAAGACATATCAGATCACAAAGATTCTGACAATGATCCTGATTGAAAACTGCATAAGAAATATGTTAATAAATAGAGGATGTTCAAGTTTCTTCCATAAATAAAGGATTTATTTTCATCGAGTGGTATGAAAATAAATATTTCACTAGTGGCAGTAACCACGAGTGAAATATGAAAATTTTCATACCAAAAGATGAAAATAAATCCTGTATTAACAGAAAAAAATTCTGTTTATTGCATATTTTTTCTCTTTTTTAACCTTATGGATAGGAAGAATTCCCTTTAAATTTTGTGTATTGGCTAAATTTAGAAAAAAAAGTAGTCCAGCAAGACACCAGTGAAAATACGGAAAATATGTTTCACACCAGTAAAAAATAAATTTTTACATTGAAAATAGTTCAAAATACGGGAAATAAAACTACGCATTTTACATCATCAATATTTCTCAATATATCATTTATTAGTATATAATAAAAAACGATATTGATTGTTCAAAAGACTTGTTGTAACAGTTTGAATAAAAAAGAGAATATGAACAAAAACAACGTCGTAAAATACCTGATTACACAAAATACTCACTCACTGGATATACAAATTATAGAAACCATTCGTGTTGGTCAAGAATAAGATTGTTCAAACAACGAAATAGAAACAATTGTTGAAAGAAAGCCTGACAGGACACATGGAAGGAACAACATGTTCTTAAAGATAAAGAGCAAAGGTAAGATACACACCGATAGACGGGATATGTTCGTGTCACCTTGACTACACATGAATTGGGCAATAAAAAATGATGTAGAAGGTGTGAATGGACATTAAAATCAGAGTAGTAGAATATATATACATCTTCCATTAAAAATTGAGTTATTCTGAATGAAAAAAACACACACACAAATCCAAAACATAGTACTTATTATCTAGTATAAGGTTTGATGAACAAAAAGAAAATTAATAAACAACTGTAACCTTTACTTTCCGCAGCGATGCAATATTGCCTCTGTTGACAAATAAGCATGTGAACATGTACATCAAAATTCACAAATAAAATATATTGTTTAAATGGAACAAATAAAAAAAGTATATAGCGTGCGTGTATGTATTTTATCGATTTATTGATGTAGATTCGTAATGCCATGTTTGTGTTAACTTTTTTCATTTTTGCAGTAGAGCAAGATACATTTGTACATTGAAAGACGTCGACTTCGTCACTGCTGTTGCTCAATATGTAGCGATCGGTTAAAAATGATTTGAGCCGTGCCATGACAAAACATAATGGGTTTGCGACCAGCAAGGATCCAGACCAGCGCGGATGCGCAGGCTTGTCTGGATCCATGCTGGTCGCAAACCCACTATGTTGGTTTTGTCGTGACGCGGCTCATTTATACGTATAGTATGATTAAATCTTGCCTTGAGCTTACAGCCGTACAGTTATGCACTTGATCATACATTTTTGTTCGCAGACAAACTATTCTACAGACGTATGTTCCTATGGGTGGTACTGTGTCCATCAATAAGAATACGAAAAGAACGAATATTGAAACATGTATTTTGCAAAAACCATTTGACAAATTGCATTGCAATATTAAACAAAAATTACAATGTGTGGAAGTCAAACATTGATTTAACAGAATAAGAAACTAAGGAATATTACGTTCTTTATTCATTTATATATATGTATAGCTTAAAAATACCACATGTCCACCAACAAAAAGTGGATGGGCTCCACTTGATCTATATGTTCCTTAAAGTAGATATATGCATTGTTGCAAAATAAAATAGAGAAAGACGAAATTCTTAAAGAATGCATAACACTACAAAATTGAAAATGTTGCAGGCTCGGTTTGATCGAGCCTGTTCATTGACGGTAATAAAAAGTGCAAGTTATCGTACATGCCCCCTAGCATCGGCTTAAGCAGAATTAAACATTTAAGTCCTGTCCTCTTTAAAAGAGGCCTTCTCTTATGTGTAAGATATGATGGTCGTCAAATACAAGGACTTTTCCGATTTTCATTTTATGATTACTTTTTATTACATTTGACCAGGCGAAAACGCGAAAAAAAACCGGACAAAGTCAATGTCAAGTGATTTAAATTTGCTAAAATTATGATCACTTTGTTATTTATCTACAAATCTGTTCTGAAAAGAACACATATGACAAAACCGACCTGTTGAAATATTCTAATAACTGAAATCTAAAACATTTGCGATGAATGTTTCAAGAGACATATTAGCCTTACATCAGTATCCTGTCTTAAAATATCAACAGGCATTTTACTATAAGCTCACCATAAAAAAGATGTATTTGTAGTTTGGTATTGAACATTCAAGAATTGTCCTTATAATTTAGCATTAACCTTTCCCATTTCCGATCTTTATATGAAATTTAAAAAAAATGCAGCCAAAATTCAGTATTGGAACTACCATTGAATCAAATTATCAATTTTTTTCACTAATATCAATCAAAGTATCATTTTTTTTCCACTAATATCAAGTGAAACAGCATTAAACAAAATAAAAAATAATGACTGTAAACAAAGTTTTCAAAGTAAGTTCAGATGAAACATTTTTAACTCTCGAATTGTGTGCCATTTGCAGACAAGATAACTAATTTACAATATCGTAATATACATTTATACAAGGGTTGTTCCAAAAGGCCGTATGTATAGCTTTATTTGCAAATATTATCCATAAACAGTATGTAAATTCAAAGTTTGTTCGTCTACACGGCAAGAAAATAACATAATATAATAACAAATATTTTAAAGCTGTAACTCAAATTACAAAAAGTAGGTCAGTTGGTCAAAATGTAGGTCAAAGTTCAGGGGTGCGTTTCATAAAGAATCTTTCGTAAGTGGGATAAAAATGCGTTTCAAAAGTCCTTAGTGCAAACTTAAGACTAAAGTTATGACTAGTCCAGGGGGTGCCTCTGAGCACTCCTAAGTTTTGTCTTAAGTCATAAGGATAAAAACACGTGCGGAAACAAATATGGCGGCACTTGCTGTTTTGTTTGATGCAAGACGAGCTTTAAGGCGTGAACGTGTCTTTCGGGGCCGTTCACAGGCCCTAGAAGTATATAGATTTCCTCGGAATGAAATGCTTAGATTGACTCACTTAATTGGACTGCAAATGTGCATCTAGTCCAAATTTCATGGCTGTAGCTTTTAAATACAAAACAGGAAGGTAACTGGATCATGACCCTTGGTCGTGTGGTGGGGGCTAATCTAGTCTGGTTCCCGTCGTTCTATAAAATTTAGTACTATTGAACGCAGAGAAAAGGGCAGGTAATCCAGACTAGGGGCTAATCTTGACCCACCTAATTTGGACATTCAGCAAACTTGGAAGATGTCATCTACACAATGCTTGGTAGAGGTCCACACACTATACAATGTTTTATGCCATGGTATCTAAGCTCTAGTCTGTGAAGTTTCAGAAGAAGACTTGTTTTAGGGGTTGGTGTGCTCTTTTAGGTCATTTTCGAATACATAAGCAGATAACTTCTGCATCATTCATATAAGTAAAAAGCAAAAATTCCAAGAAACTAAAACTTTAGATAACAACATTCTTGCATGTGTCACAGGGTGAAAAAATGTGTAGCCTAACCGGGACTTGAACCCGGGACCCTTGGAATACCGTTTTGCGGCTTTACCGACTGGGCAATTTGAAAAACAGGGGGACAGTTTTGAACCGTGACACATAATTATATTAATCCTTTACCTCTACGCGAAACAACGCACTTTCGACGACGCCCCCTCCCCCACATTTGAGGCCTCAGATAGTGAAAAATATGTCCTATTTATGCCCCAAACACTTTTTTCGTTTGAGAAATGTTGTTAAAACAAATGATCACTATTTTCGGCGCCGTCCCCTATTAGAAAGATACATCAAGGGAAGCCTGAGGGTGCCCCCTTCTGCTTAGGGGTTTGACGGGGGCAGCAGAGAAGAATTTTAGACTTGTGAGAGGCTAAAATTGGCCTCAGGTCGGTCAGAAGGTAGTTGTATGTTCGTGTAAACAACGCTGAAAAACCTTTGACGCTATCTCAATCCATACTTTGAAATCAGTTTGAATGGAAAATTTTGGCAATTTTGAGATGTCCCCTCGTTGTCATGGTAACTGTGTTACAAAGGCTAAAACAGGCTATGGGACAGTCAACAACATTTGTGCTATTGTACATGTTGTAGCATCTTTTAAAGTTTCAGAGCAATTTGAATTTGTAACAGTGATTCATTGAAACAGCCAGTTTTCACAAAATGCTCATGCAGTAATGGTTTAAAAACGTGCACGTGCACCGACAATCGGAACACCTCGGGCGACTTCAAGAATTTGACGGAGATTGCCGAGTTGTTACGATTGGTGCACCGACGTATAAAAATCGCATAGTGGTGTTCAACTTAAATTTATGCAATATTCATTACGCGTCTTCTTCACGGAAATACTTTCATCGGTATTCGAATTAAACGTTTCTTCGTTATGAAAATAATATGTTTAGTGAGGATTATTAATATTATTTTAGATAACTTTTTTTCAGGTCAATTATCCAGTACTGAACAAGACTTAAATAATTTTGAAATGTTGGCATTTAGCTACGCATTGTTGTAGCTCTACCAGAAGAGGTTCCGTCTAAAAATGCAGGAAAATGAGAATTATGAGTTGGATCCAAATTTTGCTGTTGTCTGTTCTTTTCTCGAACGTTTCGGGAAATGTTTTGGAGATGACTATGCTTACCTGAAGATTAAAGACCTGAAAGATTTTCTTGAAGCATCAGAAGGTAAAGCCTGATGGCGAATCGTGGTCAATTCGACCATAAAACTGTCTCGGCCCAGAGTCATCTCGGACCGTGACCTATTATCTATACTTAGTAACAACTCGGCCATATCTATAATGCTTTTTTTAACTAGATATATTATTTTTATTTCTGTATTCATCAAAAATGAAAAATAATGTTCATAATTACACATTTTGTAAATGGATTTTAGGGCCAGCAAAATCTTATTTTGACTTACTCAGTTACTTCTCTCTGTAGTTAGGGCTGTCATTGAATATTGCAATATTAATATAACATTGATATTCATCATCCAATACAATATCGATACACACTTTCAAATATCTATACAAGCTAAAAATTAAAATTTATTTATTTCTGTTTGTGATTATACCTCTCTATTTTGCCTAATAAGAGTCACTTTTTTCCAGTATTCTTGGCTAACTTAAACATTAAACTCCGATTTCAAATGTCAGTGACAAAAAAAATCCAGAGAAAACAAACATTCTGTTAGTTCTGTACTGGCATGCGAGCAGTTCCCGTACAGAAGCAGTACCCGTATTTTTCGTTTAAACGCTTGATTTTTACTTTCATTCTTCAAAAATTAATATCAAATCAAGCAGATGCAAACGAGACAAAATCTAAGTGTCAGTTCGGCAGTACATATAAAAAGTTTTCATTTTAAATCACTTTCACCTACAGGTGCGTTGTCGAAACGTGACCTTGTTAACTTTGGGGGATTCCGTTTAAGCGCGCATGCGCAACAATACTTACATGTGAGGCCTATTACAGGGTTTTCCGCTTATACCGCCTGCATACAGATAAGTAGGCAATGCGACATAAACCTGATTAATTATCAGAATTTTGACCTATATTACTATATTTAATAATTTTATGGCTTTAATGAGTAAAATATCACGCATACAGGCACGTCATTGCATGTGTTTGCGTTGGGGTACCGGGTAAATACATGGTCTTCGTTTAATCTACGCTCTTTATCCTGAATTGTATTTACCTTCCTCGGGGATAATGATCTCTTCAACAATCATAAATGAAAAATGGGTCTGATATAACAACATTGTATAAGTATAATGGGTTTTATTTTATGTACGGGAACTACTTCTCTTCATACAAAATAATGGATAATTTCAGTACCCCATATGAGGCCTCATAACTAAGGGTTATTCTATGTTTAGAACATAATGGAATTTCCATAATTTGTGTGATGAGCTGAATTTTGATGCCCAACATTTAATTTTTTGATGAGTGAGCGTAATAAAATATAATTTTTAAGTAACTATGATTTTTGTACAGGAACTGCTTGAATGCCAGTAGCATTTGTATTGTCTAATACAGGCATGCATAACACCATGGTCCAAATATATTATATAGTATTAACACATATTTAAATGTTTTTTTCCATCAATGACAGCCCTACATGAAGTTAGGTAGGGTTACTTTAAATAATGATATATTTGTAGTTTACTTCATTTGTTATTTATTGAAATGTAAAGATGTACACATGCTGTACTGGTGAAACTGCTTTTCACTCAGGTTTTTTATTAAGAAAAAGAAAACATGATACAAGTTGATATAAATTGTTTTACAGTGTTAACATGTACTTGCATAAAATTATTATTCTCTAAGCAAGTAATAATAATAAAATCAGTCTTAACCAAGGGAATATTGTTAAATATGGAAAAATCTGCATAGTAAATTTGTCACATTTACCTTAATCTATAAGATGAAGCACTAGTCCTACAAGAATTCTTTGCATATTCCACACATTTGATTAAAATTTGGCATTGTTCAATAAAGTGGATTTAATGTTATTCAAAGGCAGACATTAAGAAAGATAATAATATAGTTATTATTGATATTGTTTCTCATTGCAGTTGATGCAAATGAACCATTTATCCGTTTACATTTAAAACTCTGTAGAGGTATAGGTGAAAAATGCATCAGCCAAGAATGGCAGAAGGCTATAATCAAGGTAAAACTAATCATATTGTGTATTACATACATACAGTGTCTATTCTAGGAGGAGGGATGGGGGATTCACTCCTATTTTTGAGAATTTCCCCTTTTTTTTAAAAAAAAAAAAAGAATTTTGGAAAGGGAAATTTCATAATAAATTACAAAATCTTTTTAAAAATTTTTTTCCAAAGTGAATTCTGGGCCATGGCAACAAAAGGGCCCTTGACAAATTGGAAAAAATTTAAAAAATTTTGGTCCGGGTGAACGCAAAAAGGTCTGAATATATTTTTAGGGAACTTACTTTGGGAGTTTGATGGAGTTTAAAAAAAGATAAAGCAAGTACTTTTTCCTTTCCTATTTTTGAAAATTTGGTCATTAATGGCAAAATTAGGACTGAAATTTTGAAAATTTACACATAAAATTTTGATATGTAACCAAAAAGTCCTGGAAAAAAAAGGGTTATTTAAAATTACAATTTTAGGGCGGTAAGATGCAGTTAAAGATTATCACTTCTTTTTTTTCTTCATGTTGAATGAAATTCTTTGGTTGCCTATGGCAACAAATGGGGCTGAAATAATGGCAAATTTTACAAAAAGGGTTTTTTTCCAGTTCGAAAGTTCCTGGAAAATTTTTTTTTGAAAGTTTGAAACCATTTGGGTAAAATAAGCGAAGTTTAAAATTTTATGTTATTCTTGGTTTCCTTTCCTTTTTGGAAAAAAGATTTAATTGCCAATTGGCAAAAATAGGTTAAACCTCAAATTAAACTTTTAATTTTAAAAAAATTATCAAAAAGATTTGGAAATTATTTTATAAATTTTTGGCATCTTTAATTTTTTTCCAAAGTTATTCCCTTTAAAATTTTTTCTTAAAATTTTAATATTTGGGGTTTTAAAAAACAATGTTTCAAATTTTTTTAATTTTTAAGAATTTTGGCCCCCAGTCTCTTTCTGGTCGTCGGTAATGAAAAATTTTTCCGGGTGAACTTTTAAAGATTTTTTTCCACAAAATTTTAATAAAATAAAAAAATTTGGAAACTTTTTGTGAAATGGAAATGCCTTCCCCCAAAAAAGTTAAAGGGGTTCTGGGAACCGAAAAGGGACTTAATGGATCTTGAAGTATCTTAATGATAAATTCTTGTTATAACATGTTGTTATACATATACTTTCTTCCAAAAAAACAATAAATTTAAAGTGGCCTTTTGTATATTTTTTCTGCATAATCTGATAGTACAAAACAATTTGCATACAAATATGTGTGATAGGTCATCAGTTGTTATTTATGATGGTTTACAGTATGATTTATGCTAACCAAAAATAAATGTTTGTAAATAAAACATGAATGTTGTGGTAAATGATCTATTTAACCTGTCAATTTCTTTGGAACATGAATTTGAAAATTTAAGTCACCCAACAGTATAGAACCTGGTCAGACAGAAAAGATGTGCAGGTTTGCCATTATAGTGATGACATAGCTTGAAATGTTACTACCTTTTGGATTCAAATGGTTAAAGGTAAAGCAATTATATAGCTTCTTCAACTTTTGAATAGGACAAGAGTGGTGGTTTACGTTTGTTTAGGAGATGGTGGAATGGCTTTGTTGAAGATGAGTCATGGAACATAGTCTCCAGGTAAATATTTGATTTTAGTTTTACATGTACTGAGAAATTGTTTCCAATTGTAAGTTATTGTCTCCAGTTTTATGACATGTACTTGTATGTTGTGACTTATTTTATATAAAGGATCTAAAAAGAAACATTAGAAATGAAATGCTAAAAGTCTTGTCTTAGAAACTACAATGCCAAGAGCCTATTAGGATAACCTTGTTGTCTTCAACAAAAAGTATAAAATATTTAAATGCCCTGTAATAAAAACTGGCCCAATTTTGGGGTCTCTCATTACATGTATACATAGACTTATATTGGAAAACATTTAAATCTTCTTATGTGAAACTACTTTACTCAGAACTTGGATATAGTGCATATAGTATTGCTGAGTTGACCCTTACAAAATTGGCCCAATCCTGTGGTCACTTAGTTTACATACACTTATATAGGATTTTTAAAATCCCCTTATTACAGGACTTGTTATTGGCAATGAAAATAGCTTAATGCTTGGACTTCAATCTAGTTTTGTTATTTATCTATTGTACATCATAAATAAATCATTTTGACCCATCTACAATATATTAAAATTGAATATAGGAACATCAAAAACTTGATCAACTTAACCAATCCTAGTATTTAATGATTACATTAAGATAAAAACATAGTCATATATCCAGCAAGATATGTTATCTCCAACAATATAAAAATACTATACAGTTTAACAAGATTAAAACATGTCCTGACAATATATAAAGAGTCTGTAAATCACAACACCATCACATCCAGTTTTTCTGAACATTCTCTCTCTCTTCAAAATGTAATACGTACATGAACAAATAAGATGTTAAGTATTTAAACTAACAGAGATCCAAAGCTGGTTATTACTTTGTAAAAGACATGTTTATAACTGAAAATATCGTCTAAAAATATCAAATATTTACAAAATAGAAAATGTCCAAATAAACAAAAAGCCAAGTAAATGAATGATAAGGCAATCCAGCATAATATATGAAATATAAGAAATTAACATTTTATATAATTTATTCAACATGTCTGTCAAAATCCTACCTTATTCTATCAAAAACCAGATTTCTGCCTGAAATGTTATTTTTCCATACCTTAAGCTGCCAGGATGTTAGTAACATGATATAAAATGAAGATTTAAGTTAAGTTGTTACATTGTTTATATTTCAGTGATGTTAGTGAGCTTGAGCGACTTATAGAAGTTTTAGAAGAAAATGAAGATGTTAAACTAGAGGATTTGCCTGTACAGAAATGTTTTGACGTCTCATCAGATAGAGCAGTAACTCCTACAAGGGATCTTTGTACTGGTGCAGGTATATACCATTAAATCATCTTAACATTGCTTCTATTATTATCCCCGGCCGAAAAGGCGGCAGGGGATATAGTAATAGTCTCCGTCTGTCCGTCCGTCCGTGCGACCTTCCGTCCGGCCGTCCTTCCGTCCGACATTTTTGTCTGGAGCATATCTCTAAATGTATATGAGTTATCAACTTGAAACTTCATAGGTGGATAGACCTCATTGAGGAGGAGTGCAGTGCACAAGAATGATAACTCTACCCTGCATAATTGTTTAGTTATTGCCCTTTGTTATTTTTCAAAATTGATTTTTGTCCAGTGCATAACTCAAAAGGCCTTTGAGATATCATTATGAAACTTCATAGGTGCATAGATCTAACTCAGGAGGTTTGCAGTGCACAAGAATGATAACTCTACCTTTTATAATTTTTGAGTTATTGCCCTTTGTTATTTTTCATACTTAATTTTTCAATTCAATTTTTTTCTTAAAAGTATTTGAGGTATCAACTTGAAACTTCATAGGTGGATAGATTTTACTGAGGAGGGATGCAGCACACAAGAATGATAACCTACCCTGCATTATTTTTCAGTAATTGCCCTTTGTTATTTTCAGCCATCAGTATTCACATAGGTTTCAAATCTGTAATCACTATAGCCATCAGTTTTCATTACCAAAAGACCTTAAAATGGAGTTATTCTGCTCTACTACATATACATTCTTCCAATGAGCAAACACATTCGGCGGGGGGATGGCCATGTTGACATGCCTCTTGTAAAATTTAAGTCTGATCTATCATAATGCAAGTAGTATTTTTTATGGTTATCTTAAAAACTGATACGGAATTTCTCAGGGATCAGTAAATGAAAAACAACAAAGTAGGCAATATAAACAATTGAGTCAGAGGTTTAATGTCAGTCAGATGAGGTAGCTTATGTGAGCTATTGTGATGTGTCATTTATCATAAGTAATTTTTTAAAACAACATCTCCTTTGAAACCAATGATATAAACACAACTATACAAGAAAGATCAAAGTTGTTCAAATGGTACCAGTCAGTTGCATAAGTAGGTAACAGGGCCAAAAAGGCGTTTTAAAAATGTAATGTCTTACTGCAAATAAACTACCTGCCCAGTATAATGAAGATAATTATGGCATTTTACTAATTGAGATTTTCCACAAATTGTAATAAAATGAAATTTTGATCTGTAAAGTGTTAATACAATAAACTATGCATAGTGGGAACACTTTAAAAAATCACTGTTTAAAAAGATACAATGTTCACAAAACATTTTAGTTGTTTAGTCTGGAATTATTCTTTTGAAATGCCACAGAACTTTATCATTTGACCTTTCAAGGGCATGCTATTTTACCCCCTCTTAGATTTTAATAACAATGTTTAAGAATATGAGTAATATTTTGTTTATTACATTTTAAATAGATGATGCTGCCAACATGGTGTATTTCTCTAGTATAAAGAACTCACCATTATTTTGTAAACGTCCTGTGAGGAGAACAAAGTCTCAGATACTACGTGATGAGAGGAAACATAATCTACGACATTGTGATGTTAGGATACAAAGACTTAGTGAGAAACACTTAAACACATACAGAAAACATCACTCTCCACCTCCAATACAAGATCATCTATCTGGTAATGAGACTGCAGTGAACACTCCTGAAAATAAGCCTTCCCAAGAAGATAACAAAAGTGAAGTAAATCATTCAAATATTACCTCAAACATTGTAGAAAGTTCCACTCTAGATAAAGGAAATTGTGATGGATCTGAAAATGATACAAGCGTGAAAGAGAAGCCTTGCAGTGATAAAACCAAAGATAAGAAATGTTTGAAAACATGTAATCAAGTGAGTGAAAACATTGATGTAAACAAGGAGGCAAATGATTTAAATAAAGATCAATTAAATGATAATGAGAAAGACACAACTGAGAATAAAGCAGGAGATGCAGAGAATAAATTTATTCCATTGATGAATTGTAAAGGAGATGCCTGTTCACAGCAAGAAAATATTGCAGACATTAAAGAAGAGAGTGAGACATGTATGAAAACCAGTACAGTGTATCAAACAGATTCTGAAAAACAGATCGCTGAATATGACAATGACAAAAATATATTTGACAATGCTATTCAGGATCTATTACTACTAGATTGCAATAGAGTTAATAGTGAAAAGTTAAAAGTCACTGAAGCTTTGTTAAATGGGACCAAAGGCGAAAATGATGTTACAAACGAAAAACAAACATGCTTTAATGAACCTAAAGCAGATGATAAGCAAGAGGAGAAAGGGTTGTATGGAGTTGATAGTGATCCTTGTCTAGATACAGATCAACGAGATGTTGACAATGCTTTAAAAGATCTGATGAAACTTGAGTCACTGGTTAGTTCAAATGATCTCAATCTGTCCAATAAGGATGGTAATAAAACTATGTCAGTGTCTTCTGAAGATAAGGAGCCTGTCTCTTTGGTTGTAAAGAACAGTACAAAACTTGATGCTGCTGATGATAAATCATCAGCCATCTCGTGTGATGAAACTTTTTCTTGTCGGAATGCTGAAACTAAAAATAAAGAAAAGAAAATAGACCTTGACAGTCTTAATAATGATAGAAATGTGGAATCTTTAAATAAACACACCAATACTGTTAATAAAGAGCAAAACATGAAAGAGGGTTGTACAAAGAAGGATGAAAAAAAATCTGTATCAATGATAGTTGGAGAAGAAATTATTCAGATAGAGGAAGCATCCACTGACTCTGATGAGGAAAGTGAAGTAAACATTGGAAAAATTACAGGTACACAAACAAATCAAGAAACAGTAAAAAATAGTAAAGTTTTTAAAGAAGATAGTAATAATGAAAAATCAGGGAAAGTTTTGAATGAGCATAATAGCAAACCTTCAGGAAATATTAAGAACTTGTGTTATGATACTTCATTAGTAAAACCAGATATAAAACTGCTTGTCATGGACAGTAAAAAGGGAAAAGAAAGTGTAAAGCCAGTTGTATTAAGTGCAATAAATACATCAGGACAAAATGCTGTTTTTTTACCTGTAGGAAGTGATTCTCAGAAAAAAATTAGAGTTAATGGCACTGCAGAGATACCAGCAGGAAATTTTCAAACTAAAGTGTCATCAGTGGCCAACATAACAACATTCTTAGTTCCATTAATGACAAAGTGCTCTTTACCGTCTGTAATGCTCAATACTTCGTCTAGTAATCAGCCTCAGTCACAAACTTTAAAGTCTTTACTTACTCATCAAGTGGTGTCCTCACCAAGTGGCTCCAATCCATTAATTGGCAATCCTTCAGGTGTTAGGATGATTCTACAAAACAAAGTATTTTCAGGTCCAATTTCATTTCCTTGTGTATCTAGCACAGCTCCTACAATTATTTATGCACCAACATTACTTTATAAACCCACACCAGTCAGTGTTCCTGTTGTCACTTCACAAAAACAGTCAAGTATACTGTCTAGTCATATTGTGCAGGGTCAGCAAAGTTCTAAAATGTATACACATGTAACAAATTGTGGTAAAATACTTGAAAATTTAATAAAAGCTCCAATTGTTGGAAATAGTGGCGGCAATATTCCGAAAGTTGTACATGAAAGTGGTGTTAGAGGAAATGAGCCAAGTGTTTCTGTTCAGAATGTTACAATAGTTGTAGGAAAGGATGGAGTTCATTATGATAAGTCAACAGGTAAACCCTACAAATACCCAGATAAGAAAAAGTATGTGGTTGCTGGGCCTAAAGGAAAGTTTTATGATAAAGCAACAGGTTATGAAGTTGATGTTCCACAATCTGAGAACCTGAAGCATGTACCAGGCACAGTGTATTTAGCATCAGAGGTGTCCTTTACTAAAGAAGTACAAGAGTTTTTAAAAAAGAAAAGGAAGAAAGAAGGTACTTCAAAGAAATGTAAAAAAAGTAAAAATGTGAGTAAAGAAGTTACATCTTCTGACGAGGAGTTTGCTAAGATGTTGGAAACTGAAATGGCGAAAACCAGTGAGGAAGAGTCCGACGATATTGACTATGATTATGAGAAACTCTCACAGCGTGTAAGGATGGCTAGAAGTAAGAAGGTAAATATAATGTTTATTGCAATATATAAGTTTCTAAATTGAGTGGGTTTTTTTACCTCATTTGTGACTTATAGAGGAGCATGTATTTATTAGCTGTGTCTGTCACTAATTGTTACATTAGCTGCCTTCTATTTATGATTGTAAGTTCGTCTTGTTAAAGTTATGAAGTAGGATGAAAATATTGTGATATGTAATGGAGATTAAGCACTGTCTCAAACATTGTGGGAGCCCCACTGATATGATATTGGTTCATATACTCTAAGAAAGTCTAACCTTTAAAGAAAATTGGAATTTATTAACAAAATTTAATGAAAATTTGTTGATACAGTTACCTGTAAGGCAGCAGCATGGAACAATGGACATTGAAGACCAAGAAAGTGAAGAAAGCGATTCTGAAATGGTGCCACTAGTCCTAGGTAGAAATGCTAAAAGAGCTGCAGCCAAAAAATGTAAGTTCTGAATTAAAAGATAAGCTAATGTACATGTGGATTATACTACCTCAGCATCTGCCACATATTATGATTTTATTTTGTCTGTATATTCTACAGATTTGATGACTAAAATCCAACAATGGATTGGTAATGAAAAATTCTGAAGAAATCGGCAAAAAAACTCGAGCTATGTAATGTTTTAGTCACTTTTGCAAGATAGTATGCTTTCTCCACATAAGTGTACTTACCACGAGTTATTCAAACATCTGTCTGGCGTGGACACTAACTTTTTATAATAGTTTATATTAGTATTTTGAATATGCATTTTATTTGTATAGAAAGTACCTAAATGTTATCGTTGGAACGATTCTTTGTTGTTTTCTTTCAATTTGAAGGCAAAAAAGTTGTTGGATGGTTCAGTCTATAAAGAAATCAATGTTATAAGTAAATGTATCTTGGTATCATGAACTATGGCCCTGTTTACAACACTAGCACAATGTCAAAAATGTTTGTGAAGTGCATGTCGTAATCCTGGATTTGCCACATTATGGCAAGCAAGGATTTGTTTTTAATCAGAATTGAAAATGAGAAAATATAAATAGATAAAAGAAAATAAGAAAATGAGAAATTATTGCAGGAGTACATTTAGCATAATTTGGATTTTTTAGCTTGTCTGTTTTGAAGGAAAAGTTAAGCTATTTTGATCGCTGCGGCATTGTTGTTGTGGTCCTGCAAAACCTTAAATGTAGCCCATTATTCAAAAATTTTAAAAGTAACATCATATTTGGAATACTAGCTAATCCTGACAATGTGCATTTGTTAGACAAGGGGCATAATTCTGAAAGCAATATTTTTGCCTCTTTTTATATCTTTGTCTTGTTTATATTACACAGTCTTTAACACTGTTCTTAATCATTTATTTTCATAGTGCAAATCTCATTTACTTTTAATCTTTCTTCACTTTTACTAACAAACAAACATTTACCAATGACTTGAATGCCTTCAAAATCTCACTATCCTGATAATGTTAATTTCTGGTTTTAACTTTCTCTTACAACATTTTGGACAAGCACTTGCTCCTGCCTTATGGTTAGGCAGAGATAGAATGTTAAACTGCATTCTTTAAGTTATTAATATACACTTTGATGAGGAACTTAAGGCCATCATGAAAAAAGATTTTGCTGGTGGATATTTCACCTCTTAAATTTACACTATATCTGTATTGATTTTAAGTTGGACTTGATATACATTGTTATATATACATGTATATATAAATCTGATGGCAGCTGAGCATAAAAACAAGCATATACATAATAATTATGTCTTGTTCATTCTTAAGAATTTTGCTTAAACTTTAAAGTTTTCCTGTTTTTCTGTCAAAACCTCTCAAGATATTGCTTTTAAATCTGGAACTTTTTTCTTGTGAAGTTATATCACAAAGATATTGCCTTAGATATGGTAATTATGGAATTTTTAAATTATTTCTATGTATGTATTATATATATATGACTTGAATCTTGACAAGTTAAAGATACTTTTTATTTACCAGATATCATAGACCTGTTCTTATTACATATACATTATCAACAACTAAGAATAGTGAAATGCCCTGCTTTACATATATGAGAATGGTAATATATTTTTGTCCTCGTATTTCAGTGACAGATTACACAGCTGACATTATAATCTCCAGTGACGAGGAAGAGACATATAATGATGATAGCTCGGAGACGTGTACTGTGTGCAGTAATAAAGATAATACTTCTATTGTACGTTTAAACAAAAATCATATCCAAACTGGGGGTCGGGGTATATATGTTTTGTAGGAGTTAGGGGTCAGTCACGGTCATAGGTGTAAATAACTACAAAAAAAGTAAATAACTGTAACTTATAGCTCTGGCTTGATTTCTGTGATATTAATGTACAGTGTAACTTCCGAATTCCGGAACTTCTGAAATCCGGAAACTTCTAAAAACCGAACAGTTTTTTCGATCCCGATTTTTTCCCTTCTATTTTCTAATAATATAATACTTCTGAATTCCGGAACTTCTAAATTCTGAATTCCGGACGATATTTTCGTAAAATTAGAGTCAAATCAATGCAATTTTACCTCCAAAAACCGGAAATATCCAAAGGTGTGAAATACATTGTAAATCCAGAGTGTTTACCCTGCAGGAAGATTTAATCTCCCTATCGATTGTTTACTAATTAGCGGTGATCGTGTAATTTGACACGCGTTAAAATCACAAACTGTGAAATGGTATGTTTGAAGTGATGCGGTTAATCAAAGTAATTTACGGTAGTCAGTTAATTTGAAGTGTTTATTACCGGAGTAAATGACAATTAATTGGACAATGTATGCATCAAACGTCTTTAGGGATTTTATTGCATTTGATGTAATAATTAATTAACATCGGACAATATGTAAGTTTATGCAATTAACAACATTTCTACAAACTGATAGAAATCCAAAAGCATTTGCAGGTAAGATAAAAATGTATTCTTTTCATTCACATCTTTATCTTGATTAAAAGACTATTATATATGATATTACAGTAATGGCCACATCTTCCTTGACATATAGTGATATTAAGTGGTTTAGTCATGTCCATATTATCATAAACCTCTGAATTCCGGAAACCTCTGAAATCCGAACTTTTTGACAAGTCCCATGGGTGTTCGGTTTTCGGAAGTTACACTGTAATATATAAATGCAATTTAAATGAAGCATGTATGTAGAAAACAAACAAGTAATTGTACAGAGCAAACAGAATGATCAAGCAACATAACATATTACTATAATCTAATGAATAGATAAATATTATGAATGAAATTAACTTGTTCTTAAGTTGTTTTTGTTTTTTGTACTAAAATACATGTACATGTAATTATTGTTTGGTTTTATTAACCTGTCATTGGTTTTATTAACCTGTCAATTCCATACTTGCTACACGGTCAATGCACACAATATATTAATCTTCGGAAGGTTTTCGGTTTTTTCCGTGAGATGTACGTAGTGAGATTTGATTTAATAAAATTTGTGCCCATGAAATAATTATACTGAGCAATATAGGGCAATAGGGTAAGCTACGGGTTAAAAATTTCTAAGTGTCTTACGTCATGTAAGATCGAGACCTCATACGTCTAATGTTATTTTTTCTTATTTATAAATATTTTCAACATTGTTGGAACTATGATTGCTTTTGATGTTGTTCGTTTTAATTTAATATTTTTAGCAATTATTTTTGGTAAAGTCTTAACTGTTTTTTTTAAAAACATGGTTTCACAATTAATATTTATAGTTCATTCAGATTAAAATTAGTAAAAGTCATTTCAATTGCGTAAAACACAATGTAAATCGAGACAATGTTTCTAAGCTGATTCATATATGTGTAGACAATATTGGAAGCACTTGGCCATTTCCATGAAAATATACTGCAAAAAAGAGAAAGAGAATAGGCCTTAAATAATAGCAAAAGTAGGGAGCAGACAACAGAAATCTAATATATTAGATCATCATTCAACCGTCTGTGCTATGCAGATTTGTTAAGGTTTTTGCATAAAGCTGGTGTGACTTTTCAAAACATTAGTTAAATACTCCATATTAATTCTCGTAATCTATACTGACAGAGCCGAAGTGAAATCGAAAATTTAAATGAGTGCTTGAATGTATTCAAAATTGACAGGTCAATAAAATCAGACTATAGATACAATTAGCATTTTAAATCAGTAGAAAATTAAAAGATTCAAATTAATAGTCATCTGCGTATTATATATGTAAAAAATTCATCATTACCCTAAAAATAAAAGATACAAATTAATATTCATCTGCATATTTTATATGTAAAAAATTCATCATTACCCTAAAATGCCTGCATTGCAAAATGCTGACAGTATGCACCAGGGCACTTGATGACAAAGCTTCTGTGAAGCATGAATGTTGAAAAATTTTTTCAGTATGAATATGAAAATCCCTTTCAACTAGTTTTCATTTATTTAGGTATTTCGTAATAATTCAGGATTACTATTAAAATTTTTCAGGTATGACTATATATATATTTTCATAATTTCTATGTATATTAATTTCGGGATTATATATATATATATTTTAGGGTTGAC